CCCTAACCCCTAAACCCTAAACCCTAAACCCTAAACCCTAAGCCCTAACCCTAAACCCTAAACCCTAAACCCTAAACCCTAAACCCTAAACCCTAAAGGCTAAACCCTAAACCCTAAACCCTAAACCCTAAACCCTAAACCCTAAACCCTAAACCCTAAACCCTAAACCCTAAACCCTAAACCCTAAACCCTAAACCCTAAACCCTAAACCCTAAACCCTAAACCCTAAACCCTAAACCCTAAACCCTAAACCCTAAACCCTAAACCCTAAACCCTAAACCCTAAACCCTAAACCCTAAACCCTAACGTCGTGCCTGCTGACATGTCGAGCGGATGGCTTCTGCGATAGCGTCGGGGGTGCATCCCTCCACAGCCTTGCAAGCCTGGGCTGTCCTGCTGTTCGGATAACGCTTCGCGAAGCTCTTCACCCTCTCGACGAGATCAGCTTCGAGGACAGAGGCATCCACAAGTCCGCTCTGCGTGTATTGGCATGATCTCCGATACAGCATGTTGCAAACATTTTCATCATACTGAAGAAACCATACTTAGAAAGCTATTTGAAGTATACAAACCTCTCGCTTGCAGCTTCCTTGGGGCCCTGGCGGCTTCCCCTACACCTGACAAGGAGCCATGCTGCCGAAAATAACGGCGCCTGCTGCCGAAAATAACGGCGCCTCCTAAACCCTAAACCCTAAACCAGCCTTGAATGGTGTTCAAGCTGCTTATCAGCCCTCACATATACAATTCTAGTCTAAAGAGGCGCGCGAGCACTGGGAGTACACGGCCTACAATGCTACCCTGCTTCTGAGGTCTCGTCCTTCTTTCTACTTCTGCTGTCTTCTCTTGGCTTCCTAAGCCTCAGTCAGGAGAGTTGCCTCTCCTCACCTTGGCCTTCAGTCGCCACCTACTCCTCCTCCATTCAGCTTCCTCAGCCTCAGTCAGAAGAGTTGCCTCTCCTCACCTTGGCCTTCGGTTGCCTCCCGGAGTCCTACCTTCTCTCCTTACCTTGCCTACCTTGCTGGCTCGTCGGTTGCTCTTCGACTTCGCCGTGTTGTCTTGCTTCATGCTCAGCACAGCTCAAGCCGCTCGGCCCCCGCCCTCGCCTTGCTCTTCTTCCATGTCTTCCTCTTCTTCGTCATCTTCCCTCATCTCCACCCGCAGTCGGTCCTTCTTGTCC